GATAATTCTCACATCATGACTCAAACAATTTGCTCCTGCCATTCATCTCATCATTCATTCTTTTGTTCGTTTGCTTATTTGTTTGTTTGCTTGTTTGTTTGTTTGCTTGTTTGTTTGTATGTTTGTTCCATTCAGTTGTTCATTTCTAAATAGGAATGCATTCCGTGCATATTATATAATTAGACAAAGGCATAGACCACATTTAGCGGCTATGAAGATAGGCAACCAGAGAGAGGCGCACTACATACAGACAGACACAAGTACATGCAACAAATTTTAGACATTAAACATGTGTAAAGATTCGCTTTCGTGTTCTTTGCATGTGCCATCCTAAGTATCAGAACACAATAGTTCATGATTTCGCTGCTTTGTCAGCGTACTTGTTATCATTCACTGTATTTTAAAGATCATTATATAAAACCCCAGACATGTTTAATCCCATTTTAAATAGATTATCTCTTCCTTGAACAGGATACTCTCTGATGGAAGGACCCGTAGTGACCAGTGCCCCAGCCCTCATCAACAGCTGCAGACTCGCTCCTTACGTCAACATACCTAGCGTCAGACATCAGAACAGCGAGGTCAACGCATCCACCACCAAGTTGCAATCAGCTGGATCGATACCAAACTACATGTCTCCATCCAATAACAGCGGCAGCAACTTCTACAATCCATCCATGAACCCACCCACGTCATCACCTACGTCACTTTCCAGCCAACTGCCAAGATTCAACATGGTGATGGCAGCAATGGCGGCTGGTTTGCATCCTAGTAACTTCTTTCCCACAAGTCCTCTGGCATCTTTGTTTTTCTGTCAGACACCTCTCAACGGTCAGCCCTTCAAATTGAATGTGGCCGCCATGCACGCTGCTCAGCAAATGACCCAGCAACATCAATTGAGCCACCAACAACACCAATTGAATCCACAACAATCATCACACCTCCATCTTCAATCTTCCTTCCTTGCACCAGCACTCAACTTAACAACCATGAGACAGGCCTCATCGAGCAGTTCACCACTCGTCGAAACTTCGATGTCCTCGTCATCGGCATCTGAACGATCCGCCATTGATGATGTGAGCACCTCCGTGGTGGGAAACAAATCATCCAGCATTGCTGATCTCAGACTGAAGGCGAAGAAATTTACGGAATCGAATGGGATGTGATCAGAAAAAAAATTAATCTGAGCATAATTGTAATTAAACATTTGATTTTTTCTATGATCTTCACGATGAGTTTGTGAATTGTTTTTTTTTATAAAAAAAAGTTTGACACTTATTGGAGAATAATTTTTAAAAAAATATTCGTAATGTTTAAATCGTAAAAACTCATTATGCATAACTTTTCATATTAAAATAAAGTTATGAAAATAATATGACGAGATTTTTGAATTCTATTTCGTAGAAAGTGACACAAGAAAACTACAAGTGCCATCGTGTTTGCTGCCAGTACCGTTATAATCGTTACAATTGTGACCTTATGTTGTTACAGCGGTTGTTTTTTATGTTTTCAAACGGTAACTAAGGGCAGACTTCACATTTACAATAGAACCAAACTTAAACAGAGCATAAATTAAAAAATTCATTCTTTGCCTGCTGCAGACTTAGAAAATTGAAGCATTATAAACAATAACAAAACAAATAACCTTAACACTTCCAATGAATTTATGACAAAGGTTTATGTAAAATATTGAAAATCGATAAGAAAAATTAAGAACAAGAAATAATATTTAAGAAGCTTTATTAAAGCTGCAGAACTGTTCCTTCAACTCTTCATATCTGATGAGTTCCTTCAGAGATAAGGATGGTTTGAATTGATGGAGCGCTTCATTGAAATCGTCCTCAGTCACCACAACATCCGCATGAACATCCAGTGTCGCCTGCCCAGCTGTCATAACAACGAATTCGTAAAAAGTTAAACCTTTCTGTGATTGTTGGAAAATAACAACGGTAGCGCAACAACTTGGCAAATTCAAGTAGTGAACTAGGATGAATAAAAAAAGTGAGCGAAGCATTAAAAGGAATAAACTTTAAAATTGCATTCCAAATTATTTCAAGTCACAAATACGTCTTAAATATTTGATCGGCAGTTTTTGAACAACCTTCAATTTTTGATATGATCCTCCTGGTAGCCGAGATGAGCGCATCCGAGCAGAGAGCATAAAAATCTGCCCCTGTCATCTGGCGAGGACATTTGTCAACAATCCTCTGCAGACATCCTCTGTCTTCAATTTGAAATCTGTGCGGGTGAAAAATAAAATTAATTCAATAAACGAATCAGCTGGAATAAAACCATAAAACATGGAACCTAAAATTCTTACTTGTTCGTTAGAGCGTTTATAATTTTCAGTTGCGTTTCTCTGCTGCTGTCAACTCCCAGGTACAACATTTTATCGAACCTTAAAGTAAATATTAACAAATATACTAAACTCTTAAGCATTATACGACAAATTCATTGCTAGATATTGAAATTTTAATTAATTAAGAAACACTTCCTCACACCAGCATCAGCCTTAGCACAAAACTTATTTTACAGCGTGAAATCATCCCAATTTTTCCATTACACAAATTTACAACGTTTGAAAAAAGAACCTTCCAGGTCTGAGCAGGGCGGGGTCAATGAGGTCGGGTCGATTGGTGGCCCCGATGACAAACAAGTCAGTTGATTTCGTCGTGCCATCAAGTTCAGCCAACAACTGCGATACAACCCTGTTGTTTGTTGGTTGGTTCTTCGTTGTTGCAACAATGTCTCAAATGTTGCTCGTTTAAAAATCAACAACAAAAATGAAATAACTTAACAAAACGCCATAATCAAGAGCATCACACACAACAACACACACACTAAACACACACACACACACACACACACACACACACACACACACACACACACACACACACACACACACACACACACACACACACACACACACACACTAAGCTTCTACTAATATTTATTTATCACCACTGCTATCATCATTTAGTGGTCTTCGTCAAGATATAAAGCTATGAATTGTTTAAAGAAACTGTCAAAATGCAAGTAGAAAACAAAAACTGAAAACAAACATCAAAACGACGAAAAAAAACATAAACTCGAAAAAGACGACCCAACATGGCCCTACCTATCCATGACACCTCCAGAATCAGCTGTTCTTCCGCGGTTGGGTGCCAGGGAATCCAACTCATCGAAGAAAATGACACACGGAGATGATTGGCGGGCCTTCCTGAACACTTCAAACATTCATTTGTTTTATGGGAGTGAAAAATTACAAAATTATTTTTGTATAATGAACACATGAAAACATCACTTCCATAAAATCTCTCGATCGAAATTTAACAAAAATTAATTAAAAAAAAATTTCTAACGTATTTAATAATATACTATTGATAAAATAAAACAAATTAAAAAAAATAATCTTAAGTAACTCTAAAATTAACGACAAACAAATGAATAAATTGAGTAGCAAACAGTGAACCAGCCAACGGCAGCAGCAACATCCCCGCGCCAAAATAAACGACATTTCAGGAATGTTGAACCCTCACACATCCACGATAACAACATCCAGCCAGACTGCAACAAACAGTAACAGCATCCAGCCAGACTGCTACAAACAGCAACAACATCCAGCCAGACTGCAACAAACAGCAACAACATCCAGCCAGACTGCTACAAACAGCAACAACATCCAGCCAGACTGCCACAAACAGCAACAACATCCAGCCAGACTGCTACAAACAGCAACAACATCCAGCCAGACTGCTACAAACAGCAACAACATCCAGCCAGACTGCAACAAACAGCAACAACATCCAGCCAGACTCCTACAAACAGCAACAACATCCAGCCAGACTCCTACAAACAGCAACAACATCCAACCAGACTGCTACAAACAGCAACAACATTCGCAAAACAACACTAAAACAACAACAACAGCAGCAACAACATTGAACCCCTGTAACACAACAACATCAACAACAACATTGTATGTAACTACCTTCCCTAATGTTTTCTTCACTCTGACCTACATACATGTTTAAGAGCTCAGGTCCTTTAACACTGCATGTATGTAATCATGTGAACAGGTTATAATAATGTAACAAAAAACCAGAAAGCATTCATCATTCATCGTCCAATAAAGGCTTATAATAAACAAAACTTTAAATAACTCTACAACCATCAGATAAGTTTATAATATTTCAATCTTCAAAATTTTGTTACGTGCAAACAAAACATGTTATGCAGCTAACAACTACTCCGTCACAACCAAACTACTTGAAACATTGTAATCTACTTATGTCAGATAAATATATCGCATCAAGTCATTAAACTTTTAACTTCGTGGGCTAATCAGTGAAGTAAAACACTTCAAATAGCTTTCAACGGCGTTCATCGCTTAATTTATGTTAATGATTTAGCGAAAAATAATATTATCCTAGCTGATAATAATAATGATAATGCTGATAATAACAAATTTAACCACTTAATCACATGGAAACAAAACTTCATTCCCCATAACATCGTGCAATAATGACGAACTAAATAAACGATTAATATATTTCAGCGATTAACTCTCTTAACGAAACATATCAGTACGTATCCTTCCACCTCAAGAAGTTCAAGGAACATTCGTTAGCAATGGCTTTTGCCATCAAAGTCTTGCCTGTACCTGGAGGACCGAACAACAATATGCCTGTTGGTGTTGTTTTGTTGGCGTTGTTGTCAGTGTGGCTGTGAGTGTTGTTGTTAATGTTGTTGTTAGTGCTGTTGTCTAAGTGTTGTGGCTAGTATCTCCACTTTTGCACCAACCAACCAATCGATCAACTAGCCAACCAGCCAACCAAACAATCAACCATTTAATCAACCAACCAACCAGCCAACCAACCAATCAACCAACCAGATCTTCTGAGACCAGCCTGGATAAGCTGTGGGTACTTGAGAGGTAGTTGTATGGTATCGATGACGTCACGTTTCACGTCATCAAGTCCTCCAACATCTGCCCATGTCACGTTTGGTATCTTAAGCATTGATCAATTAAGATATTCAACTATTTATTTATTCATTCATTAAATCATTCATTGATAATTAGCGAAAAAAACTAAATTCCTAAACAACAGCAATCAGTTCTTCACTATCAAATTACTGTACACAAACGTTATTTGCATAGGATCCAAAAAACTAAACAGCCAAATACCGAATAAAAGGAAATGATTAAAATAATAAGCAATTGAAATTGTGAACAGCTGGAAGCAACCTTAGGAGCATCGATGAAATTGACGTTCAACTTCTTCAGCTGGTTAAGTGCTCTCTCCACGTCTACCTGCAACAAGGCACAATTGGCCTTCTCAACCATTTTTCTGTCCAGCAAAAATAATTAGTTACAATGTTTAAAATTGGAAAAACTCCGGAAAATGAATCAAGAATTTAATTGTTGATGTAATTGTTGATAGATATGATGAGGTGATTGCCTGCTTACTTGTTTCTATAGAAAGCCTGTTCTTTGGCTAAATTGACGAGAATGCATAGGGCATCAAATGTGAAACCCTGTGGTAAAAAAAATGAATCAAATAATTTCATTGGTGGTTTGTTTGGTTGTTTCGATGTCATCTTCACCAACCCCTGTCTGCATGGAGAGTGTTTTCAAGTCAACGTCCTCAGAGAGAAGCGTATCTCCAATGAAAAGTTTCAAAAAATTTCTTCGTTGAGTTTGGCTTGGAGGCTTCAGCAGGTAGTGTGGAAATGTTGTGTGGTTAATTGATTGGTTGGGATTATATTAAAGTTGCATAACAGACGAAGATATTTAAGAAATTAAATTAAAATGTGACACAGGGATGAATTAGTGAGTAATATAAAAAGACTGCAAATGAAAAAGAAACACATGCAACTAACATCGAAGGTGAAAATTTTCATGAAACATTTCTGCAACAGCAAAGAAACAGACTGTATAGATGGAGTAGTTGCCATGACGACCACCGGCCAACCATACGGTTTGGACATCAACTCGTGCATGCATTCACTGAACGTCGATGCAGACCTCCTATCTGAATGGCAAGCAGTGCATTAAACACTGCATCCTATGCTCTGAACTTATAAAACATACTGCTTCAGTAAACAAGCTTCAATTAAAAAAGTTCTTGCATGGAATAGATATGAAACGAATGTGCGAATTTATGTAGAAAACAAACAAACAAACGAACGAACGAACGAACGAATGAAGGAACACAGAAATAAACAAATTTTAACCTTCATTTCCATCTTTATCATTGGTTAGCGTATCAACGTTTTCAAAGAGCACCAGGCATGGAAGACACTTGGGTACTGCGTACGAAGGTGGAGTGAGGTGGAGGTTGGTTGTCAGGTTGACATTTGAATGAAATATTTTTGTAATAAGGATATGAAGAATTTTTTTTAAATCTGTTAATAATTACACTTAAATTCATATGCAAAACAAAATTTAGTATTAAAAGTATAATATTTATTTATATTTTAAACTTTAAAGAGTCCAACTAGAAGAAATACAAAAAAGCACGAAACTGAATAAGCAACATATGCATAAAAAACGAAATTGGTCTATAAACAATAATTATGACATAAACAAGCAACTTATCATCAATAAATATTTGGTAGCACAAAATTTTTCACAGCAAATCATCTAAACATTAACATCAAATCAAAAAATTATTTGAGTCTTTTGCTGCCCACTTGAATGAAAAATATGTTTTAACTTCAGTTCAAGTGCACTAGGGGATTGGTTGTCTAGCATATCACAGTTTACCTGATGAAAGGTTCAAGAAAAATTGGATTTGAGATGTTTTAAACAATGAACATCATCAGAGATTGAGACATACATTGTACAGGTGCATGTTGTAATGGGATGCTAGCGCGGTGCATAACTGTGGCACACCTGATCCAGCTGGCGAAACCAGGAGGAATGAAGACGGAATGTGTTGCTGTATGTCCCTGCGTTGTGTGTGTGCGTGCGTGTGTGTGTGGTGTGTGTGTGCTTCATATCGTATCATATTGTTCAGATTGAGAGATCACAAGACAAATTTGTATGCATTGTTGGTTATGTTAGTGTGGTCAACATTTCCTTCCAATGCTCACTCCTGTGCATTGTAGAGGAAATATGTATGAGGTATGAAATATTGAAAACAAAATCAGAATCTATAAGTGAGGAAGTGAAGAGTGTTTGAGAACCTACCTCTCATGCATATCACTTATGATGATAACAAGTAACTCAACTGTTAATGACTTAAAATTAGGGATGCACCGAAGTTCGGCCCCGGCTCCGGCCAAAATCCGGCTTTTTTTCAAATCCGGTCGAATCCGGCCCCGGCCGGATTTGGTGGCCGGATTTAAGCGTCTATCAACTTTTAAAAATGTTAGAAATAGAAAAAAAAATTTTATTGAATTCAATTAATTTTATGTCAATAAGTTAATGGCTAAAGCTAAGCTAAAGGCATACATGACACATAATAACAACATCACTAATTGTGAGGTGATCTGGACAATTTTCTTTATGCTATAACATTGGTTATGCATAAATTATAAGCTGATCTTTGTGTAAAAGAACTTGTGCACCTGTATATACTATATATTGATAATTGCACATGACGGATCATATAGCTACATAATATATATATATATATATATATATATATATAAATATATATCTATATATCTATATATATATATATAGAGAGAGATACATAAGCACATAATTTAAGAACATGGTATGTTAAAGGTTAGGCTAGGTATACATGACACATAATTACAACATCACTAATTGTGCGGTGAGCTGGACAATTTTCTTTGTGCTTTAACTTAGGTTATGCAAATATGCATAAATTATAAGCTGATCTTTGTTTACAGAATTTGGCGTATCACACAACTTATTCATATATTTGAATTAAATAACTATTTGCTTGGTGTTATTTTTTGATGTTCAACATGTAGATAACCGTAAATGTGAGTATTTTTTCTAACGTATGTAAAATGGTAACTAAAATCGGCCCCGGCTCCGGCCCCGGCCGGTTTTTGAATTTCAAATCCGGCCAAGTCCGGTCCCGGCCGGATTTGAAAAACCTGAATCCGGTGCATCCCTACTTAAAATGATACAATGATGATGATGATGATAATGATGAGGGTGATCAACATAATGATGGTAAGGATAAGAATAATGGGTAAAATGCAGAATTCAAACACAAACAAACTTGAAATTTGAAAAAGCTTAACTATGAATCAACACAACAACAACAAAAACAACAACATTTGACCAGTTCTATAAAAACAACAAGAAATACATGCAAGCTGACTTGTGCATGACGAAAGGTTTCATGGACTGAACAATCATCAGCTCTTCATTCATTGCTGCTTTTCCATCACCATCCTTCCAGGCTGCAAGAAGATCATCATCATCATACATTGATGATGAAGATGATGATAGAAGTGTAGTTGTCAATGATGAGGACAGCATTGGAATGTAGGAATTCACGTCTGAATCCTTGCCAATAAAAGTAAAATAGTATCAGTCTGATAGAAATCAAAAGAATCAAGTTTAAAAAACTTCAATGCATTCCTTTCATGTTATTCAGTAGGTAGATCATATTTAAATAGCATAAATGATCATTTGAAGTCTCAAAACAGAGAAAAATCATCAAAGACCAGACCTGAAATAAAGACGTTTGCTGAACATGAATCAAATAGCACGGATGATCTGATGCAGAAGTTATTGATACAACTTTGAAGTATACGTTGGTATTGAAACTCTTTGACTCATCAAATACTGACAGTGCCTCAAAATGTGATGTTTCAGCATCTTGGATATTAATTTTTAATTTAACTGAACAATTCAAATAATTTTTTAATAAGTTAATTTAGCTTGAAACAAAATGACAGTGTACCATTCCTGCTAAGTGCCAATATATCTCCTTCTTCTAGTAACCTTAAAAAATTTATAGAAAATTTTATTTCTTATATTTGAACATAAAATTACTTTCAACCAAATATAAAATTCTATACACACCTTGGTGTAGAAAAGTACTGCTTCAGTAAATAATCATATTTATCATTTGATAAATTGTTGTGAGGTGATAGGACTAATGATATGGCAGCTTTACTAGCATATGGTACATTTTTTAGTTGAAAATGTTGAGATGGTCTAGTAACAATTTTCATCTAATAGATAAATAAATTGATTGAACAAAATTAATAAAAATTTTTTATTCAATTAATTCAATTATTAATAGGTATTTAATTTTAATAATTTATTAAATTTTTAATTTAGAATATTGCTTTAAATTTAAATATAATAAAGCATTGCATTTTATGATTTTAATTATAATAATGCTATGTAGAAACCTTTGTGTTTGCAACACATGAATGGTTATTATAATGACATGGCTTTTTCAGATTAAACCAAAGCAGTGGGTGTATGTGGACATGTTTGCTGTCCAATTCCAGCTCTTCAGCCAGACTGGAAGTTTCATAAGCAAACTGGTCCGAAACAGCAACAACGGCAAAATGATTTGGAAAATCAATGATGGAGGAGGAATGGTCGTGTTCACGAGGTTCGAGCTGCATTTGAACCAAATCACCATTGTGCACTCTCAACTGTGATGACAACTTTCCATTTATTATGACACAGGAAGGCCAATCTTCAAAGGAGGGCTTAGAAAATGATTCACAGACGACAGAAAAGAATTTTTCGACGTTCTTCACGACTGAAAATGAAACCGTGCATGAAATCCCAAGAACATCATTGATTGTGGTGAAGTGTCTTGCTTGTTTTGTCTTGTCACCTGGATTAATTGTTGATGTTGATTGTGAGGCAGACGTGAGAGTGGGGAAGTCACGCGCGCCAGATAAGCCAAGAAGAGACATCAAATTTAATTCTGCCATGCCTAAATAATTTATTAAATAATTACAATGCAATTAGATGATCTCCTAGATGTTTTAATTTAAAAAACTAACTCAAATCTAACTTGTATGTTTACTTTTAAAAATGAACTTAATTATAAAAGGTATCAAGCAAAGAATGTGCGAGGTTCGAAATATGTAATTTCTATACACATAGATTAATTTTATGGTGTCATACATACAGATACACAAAACACATACACACAAAAATTTATTTCTTCATAAAAATTAGAATGCGTAAATGATTCGCTGCAAACATATCCTGATGATGCGATCCTTGGACATTTGTTTCATTTGCCTGGGTCGTGCGTTATCACATTGTTATTTGCCAATAACCTAAGCATTAACTGCCATGATGCCACCGAAACAACATTATAATGGATGCTTTCAGTTGAATTTATAACAGAAAGAATGCACCAGTTTACATGGAATACACCATGACTTTTTCTTTCAAAGCTGCACGACTTTTTTCCAAAATAAAGCTTACAATGGAAAGTCTACAACTGGACAATTCCAGTCTATGCCATACAACACATTTATTTGTTTTTTGACATTATTTTCCCATGCATATGTCATGCCATTTACATTCAATTATAGTAAGATATATCAAGCCGACCATTGTTTGCAGCAAGATTCATTTAATTTTTGTTTCCAACAAAAACATTGCAGTATTAAACTTTAAATTTATTATAAAATAAATAAAATAATCACTAAAGTAATGAGAACTCATAGGTCTTAGAGGTCCTAATTTTTTAATAAACAATAAATATCTAAATGCTCGGTGTTCATTAATTTTTGACGATAACTTCATGCACAAATGTTTGTTGTGGGCATTCACTTTTAATATATAAACTTTGATTATTATCAAATGCAAAATTTTTGACTAGGACTGCCTTCGTTGGCAATTTGTTGAAAGAGGGCCGATGAGATGATAGAATTTTTTTGATTTTAGGAAATTAACGTATTTATACTGCAATGTATTATCTTAATACCATTCTGCTAACTGTAACTGAGACAAGTTTCCTTGTCCTCTTTTGCGGATCAGTACTCTGCATGTTTTTTATTGTTTTTCTTTTTAAAAAATGTACTTCGGAATCACACGACGAAGAGAAGTCAGCCGATAAATATTACCATAGTAGATGTGCAAGAACTAAAAAACGATTTTCATTTTTCGAGGCTGATAGATTGGTTACACCAAGAAGCAGTTATGCTGATCTCAGACGAGGCGTGGCCGTCGATTCCTACAGTCTTTACAACGTGCCACAGAGAAATTATTACAGACTGCCACCAGAAATTATTTTCATGATAGAAAATGTCAAGGTTTTTGGTCATTTTAGTGAGAATATACTTTTGAAATTATGTTACCATATGCAAACAAAGTCATTACTTGCCGGAGAGCATTTGTATGGCCCCTGCAATCCTGATCAAAATATAATTGTTGTACAGTCGGGCAAAGTTGAGATTTTATTAGAAACTGATAACAAAACACACACTATCAAAACTGTTGAAAAGGTTGTTTTTATTTTTATGATCTCTTTAGAAATATTTTTACTGCAATAATTGTTTCTTAACTCAGTAGAGCAAATTTTTTATATACTCGTAAAAATTAATGAAGTTATGTTTTTAAAGATGAATGTTTTATTTAATTGATTCTATGGATTAATTTTTGGGTTCTATGTTATTATTTAACACTCAATTATTGTTTCATTATACTAATTTTTAATAACTAAAATAATTATTAACTATTCAAGTAAATCAAGAGTATTTATTTTTATTAATTTATTTTCATTTTCACAGGGTGAGTCTATTTATAGTTTGCTCAACATTTTACAGAAGTTTAGAAAATATCCAAATCGTAGCATGAATCCAATTATACATGGTGTAGCCATTCAAGATACAGTATTAATAACTTTGCCAATTGCTGGTTTAAAAGAAGTTCTTGATAAACATACTGATTCATTAATTGATGTTATAAAAATAATTGGTCTTCGACTACAAAAGGTCACTTTCTTCACTTTGAAAAACTTTTTTGGTTTAACGTCGGATTTATTATTTGAGAATGTAAATTTTCATGGGTTCAATCATTCAAAAGTTGTTGACAGTTCATCCAAGTATCAATTGTGTTTCGTCGAAAACTGTGATTCTGACAGTTCAAATTCTTCACATCTTGTGGAGTATTGTTTAATATGTTCCAATAAAAAATTGTCAACGCATTTTGCAAAAAACAATATTTGCAACCAATGTTTTTTAGAAGCATCTATGTCCAGATTTAAAAAACTTTTAAACCTTGATCCTGATATTGCTGATGTTGACATTGAAGAGATTCACAAATCAGCTGGATCTGTTATTATACAAGAAGGAACTCTTACTGAAAAATTATACTTTTTAGCTCTAGGAAGTGTTCATTTGGAGGAAAAGACCGAAGCCAGCAATGATTCAACTGTGATTGGTTTTCATAAACATGACAAATTAATTGGTTCGCTATCCATTTTGACTGGGGAAGCCAGTCTATTTACATACAGAGCTGTTGAAGATTGTTATTTACTTGCCATTTCCAAATCAAATTTGTTTGAGGCAATTTTTAAAAGTCCTGATATTATAGTTGAACTTGGTGCAAGCATTTTAAATGACTTATCAGCACTAGTGAAACAAGTTGATTTTGGTTTGGATTGGAAGCATTTAGAAGCTGGTAAAACATTGTACAACCAGGGTGATGCATCAAACAGTGCATATGTTGTGTTGACTGGTAGGCTGCAATCCACAGTACATGAGCACTCTAAGTCTATGCTGACAGGTGAATATGGTAGAGGAGACTTAGTAGGGTTGGCTGAAACATTGACTCAATCTGTAAGAGGCAGTTTGGTGGTTGCAATCAGAGACACAGAGTTGGCATGTTTGTCGGAGGAGTTGATTTCCTTCATCAAGTTCTGCTACCCAAATTCAGTTACGAAACTTGTTCAGTTGTTAGGACAAAAAATTTTAAACTCTCTTTCTGAGAAAAAAAATATATTCTCTATGATTTCCAAAGCTACTAATAAGAAAGAAGAAGAAACTTGTACAAATAAATTTGGGAAGATATCAACTGTTGCTATTTTGTCCATTTCTAGTGGAATTAATGCAACAATTTTTTGTGAAGTATTAAAATGTGCCTTGGATAAAACAGGTTGGCTCTAGTGATATATATATGTGTGTAATTTTTCATTGTGAATATATTTTTATTCTTTTAGAAACTGCTTTACTTCTGAATTCAAGCAGAGTGTTAAATCTTCTTAATTCATCAACTTTCGAATCTATTCCTAATTATTTTCTTTCTTCTTGGTTGTCTCAACAAGAAGACCAAAATGATGTTGTACTGTTTCAATGTGATAATCAAATAACGTTTTGGAGTAAAATGTGCATAAGGCAGGCTGACTGTGTCTTGATAATTGCTGACGCCAAAGATAATGCCACAATAAGATTAGTTGAAAAGCGATTAGACGAAATGTCTCCCAGAGCTCGAAAATATTTACTACTTCTACATGACTTTGATACAAAGAGGTTTTTATTAATTTCATTTTCTTTTTTTTGGTCTCTCTTAATAACTCATTTTACTTTTAAGGCCCAGTAATACAGTTGAATGGTTGAAACCGCGACCCTGGTGCTCAGGTCACTACCACCTTCGGTGTCATCCTGGAATTTTTTCATCTGCAGAAATCAATGTTGTTCAAAACGTCAGTGCTGATTTCTGCAGATTAGCCAGAGTTTTGACCAATAAAGCCATTGGTCTTGTACTGGGAGGAGGTGCAGCAAGAGGTTGCGCTCACGTTGGCGTCATCAAGGCAATGCTTGATGCTAACATACCGATTGATATGATCGGCGGAACAAGCATTGGTTCTATGGTAGGAGCAGTCTGGGCATCTGAAACACAATATTTTCAATTTTTCAACACTCTGCAAAGTTGGTGTAAAAATAAAGTCGGGAAAATGTTATTTCTTGCCGGAGATTTAACATACCCCTATACTTCATTTTTCACTGGTCGGAATTTCAATAACATTGTCAGAGAAACTTTAGGTGACTCGGTAGCAATTGAAGATTTGTGGCTACCATACTTTTGCGTAACCACCGACATCAGTGTTTGTAAATCGCGTGAACATTTTTTTGGATCCCTTTGGCGTTATGTAAGATCCAGCATGACCTTAGCTGGTTACATGCCACCACTCTGCGATCCAGAAGATGGCCATTTACTTCTTGATGGAGTTTACACCAACAATTTGCCAGCAGATATTATGCATCAGCAAATGGTCGGCGTTAAAACTATTTTCGCCGTCGACGTTGGTAGAGTTTCATCTGAAAATTTCTCTCGATACGGAGACTCACTGAGTGGCTGGTGGGTGCTTATATCTCGCATCTGTCCATGGATGGAAAGTATGAAAGTCCCAAATATTTTCGAAGTTCAGTCAAAAGTTGGTTATGTTTTGTGTGAAAAGCAATTACTAGAAGTCAAATCTAGTAATATCTGTGAGTACCTCAGACCACCGATAGACAAATACGGTTCACTACAATTTAGCAAATTTGATGAAATATTTTTGGTTGGCTATTCCTATGCTGAAAAATATTTTGAAGAATGGAAATTAAAATTCAATATACCTACAACATCCAGGTGATATATTTCCAATGAAGAACTTTCCAGAATAATTTTTAATTGCATGTTTCACTTATTCCTTAAATTAATCATTCTATATTGTATTTTAAACTTTAAGTTACCATGATTTTATTTTGATTTTTGTTAATAGTGTTTGTTAGCCTACCTAGAATCAAACTAGTCTAAATATTTGAGATAGTAGGAATGCGTCCACAGGATTTTCAGTCGATTTGTTGATTTGATTTGTCTGAGGCTGTGTGCAGATCCATCGTTTTTAGTAATTTGGGATTATTAGATGTGAATTCAGTAACTTTCGCTATTCTGCTCTAAAGGTTTAGCAACTGTTTGAAGCGATATTTTATATAATTTTCTTAAATTTTTGTTGTTTAAACTATTTTTTAATGTTTATATTGCAGTTGTAAACCAATTTCGACGTGTTTATTTATTCATTATAAAAATAGTTGATATTTAATGGTTTGACTATTTCATTGTGTGACCAGCATCTATTAGATTATTACGAAAATTATCTTTCGAAAATTGACAAATTTTATTATTTGCACAATTACACAAAAAAATTATAAATTTGTTATTACCTTGTAAAAACATGTGATATTTTTTTAATTGTTGGTTTTGTAAAATCATAATTGAAAATTTAATAGTCACAATCAACCTGTGATTTCGCAGTCTGGGCTTCTGTAATAGCCGGTCAGACTTGGTCCAAACGCACATTGCAAAACCTGTATATCATAACTGGGGAGGTGGTCCAGGTGAAGCGTAGCGTAGTAAGGCGTGACGTTCTTGTTTACTAATCATCATTCACATTTAGAGCCGCTTTGTGTTCGTTCCAGGGTTCACTGATGAAAACCCCGGGTTGGCCTTGTCGCATGATCTATATATTGCTATTATGGGCACACTGGTTTGCCTTTTATGGTTTCTTTATAGGTAACGCATCGTTTTAACATATCTAATCTTATTAAAAATAAAATAATTTTAATTTATTTTTAAATTTACATTTTTTATTTTTCAAATATAAAAAGTTCTTAAACAATTTTAAACAAATTCGTTAAAATGTTTGGCTTCTAAGAATTGGCTATAAATCACAGGTGCTACAATGGTACAAATGGAAGTGCAAAAAACTTCCCAATAGATCAATAAAACAATAAATTAAAATATATTATGAAGTGTTTACATTATAGCAAAAAAATAACATTTTTGCAGACGAAAACCAATCACTCAAAAAATAAACAGAATGTAAAAATGATGTAAAATGTCACTTCTGTAGATGGATATGGAAACATAAGCGACAAACATTTGATATCACACACGTGCCCGTAATCAATTTAAGTGCTAAAACTGTTTACAAAAGCTTATTTTGGAATTTTGAATAAATACATATTAAATTAAATATAAATTTAAAAGTGTTTCATTAATGATTCAATACAATTTTGTAAGGCTTTCTTTTCATAATAAATTCATTAACTTTGAAAACATTTTGTAAGTTATTAACCTAATTCTTTTATATTATTAAACTTAAATTTGACTGAATGTTACAAATTATTTAGCTGCCCACAACTGTCATTTTTAAAATTACTTTTCAACTGTTGGTCTTTGTTGATTTTTGGATGATTAATTAAATTTTCTGGTCTGGGTGAGAAAGGTGGTTCAGGCGTGCTTCCACTGCTTGAAAATTTTGAGCCATCGCCTTCAGAACCAAAATTATAAATTTCACAATTCGATAACGTCGAAGAATCGCTCGAATTCATCAACGTTAACGAACTCGGTGAAACAGAGCTAGGCTGTTTCTTAATTGAAGATAATTTTGTTTTAGTTTTCAACATGTTGACTGGATAACTTTTGGTTAAATCTATATCTGTTGAGGAACTTCTGTTGTCAAGCTTGCTACTGCTTCCTGAGTTTTGTTGTTAAATATTAAAAAAAATTTTTAAGGAAGCGACTTTTTTGCTTAAATAAATTGCTAAAAATTTATGTGTTTAGGTATACATGATTTAACAAAAAGTCATGTTATTTGTGACTCAAACTATTAAAATAATTATAAAGAAAAAGCCAAAATATTTTACTAACCAAATGTTTTAGAATGCTCTAGCGAACTTCGTGATCGGGAACTTGTTTGAGCAGGTTCTGACATATTCATTTTAATTTCATTGGCGGCCTCTTCATACACCTGAATCGTCGATGATATCCTCGAAGCCTTACTTTTAACCAAAAAGAACAATTCATCAATCATTGGTTCGTCTAAAATTATGTCTAGGTCACGCAAAGTAGCGAAACACCAGTGAAACAAAGTGTTCAGCTGCTGTCGACACTGCTGCAGTTTTTCGATGATGGCAGATTTCAGTTGGTATCCATCGCGCAGGTAACGTTGCGATATTTCTGAGACCTTTTCCTTCAATGGCAACATGGTAACTCCTTTGTTGGCTTCTTTGCTCTCGCTGTTGGCGTTCTTCTCATTTTGTTTCTAAGTATATTTAAAATTTTAAAAATAAAATATGAGCAATAAATCTTATGTATCGTTATTACTTTATTTTTGAGTCCATCTGGTTTTACGTTGATAATATTTTTGAAATTGTTTAATTGGGCTGATACACATGAAAACCTTTCTTCAACAAATAGTAAATATTTCTCGCCATCAAGTTCGTCTGTTGGGAAAATGGCAAACACCGCCCAACCCTCCAACTTTTCGAGAGCAGTTATACAAAAGTTTAATGTCGTTAGTATCTTTTGTTCCCGAGTTACAAATCTTTCAATGCAGATATCTTGCAGCTGGTTAAATTTTCTTATGTTCGTTTCTGACAAGCTCATACTTGGCTACAATTATTGTGTGACAATTTTGAATTAAAAATAAAAATATATGAATAACTTAATTGCAAATACAATTTTTATTTTTGTTTTTATATAGAACATAAAACTACTACCTACTAATTATTGCGTCCCATTCATGCTACGCAGATAGTGAAATACTGTTATTTTGTTTTTCTTTTGTTTCATGTTTCGATCAATATCAGCCTAAATGCAAACAATAGAAGCGGGGAAGATATAAACGCATGTACGTTCAGGTAGTTGGGAACGCATCATCGAATACATACTTCTGAAATACGTACCACCTATATTTTTAGAATTCATTCCAGGTGTAAATCGTTTTTAAATTTATCCAATATATTACAGGTAAGTCAACACATGTGTCGAATAAAACATATGCCTATTTAAATTTCTAACTTAAGCGAGATCTGTTCAAATTTTTATGATCATGTTTGCTGTTTCATTAAAAGTACGCTACGTATATACACATCCGTTCTTACAATTGTTGATGAGTTTCATATACAAATTGTATACCAACGTACCTATATGACATTCTTATATTTATGTATGTATTTGTGTATTGTATGTATAAATATAATCTGCTTAACTTTAAACGTTAAAGGCACGCAAGACTATTATGCAAAAAAATTATTTCTTTAGATACCAAGGAAAATATTTTGGCGTAACAATGGAGAAAAAATTTGAATGCAATTTTTCACTGTGCAACCACTGAGCTGTAATAAGTGTTTTATAACATACGATGTATGTTACCACATATATTCAATAATCATTATGTAATTAGTGAATCAACCTTCGTCAAGGCAAGTTTAAATATCAAGTCGTCACTCAATAATCATATCAGCATAAGATCTTCATCGTAAGACACCTTAAATATATTAGCACTCAATAAAACTTTGTCATTTCATAAGTCACTAACTAGTCTATTAATTATTTTATTTATATGTTTTTTTAACCTATTAGTTCATTTCCCATACTTTTTATGCTTAAACATTTCTTCTCCGTTATTCATTTTACGTTATCATTTTATACTATTGCCTTGCATGTTGTAACAGTTAATGCGTTTGTCAGAATCTAATTTTTTTAAATATAATAAAAAAATTAATGTACTTTATAAGGTATGTAATGTAATTTATATATATATATATATATATATATATATGTATATATATATATATATATATATATATATATATATATATGACACATTCACAGTTGTTCAAAAAATTCTATAAATTCATCTGATGACATGACATTTCCGTAAAAGTTGGTATCGTCCATTTTTATGAAATTCTGGAGATTGGTCTTGCATTCTGAATATATCAAAAAAAAACCTTAGTGTTGGAAAGGTAGTGGAAAAGTATTAGAAATTCCTTAAAGATAAATGGGGCGATAACTAGGAGGTGTTGATTTTCATGAAAGGTCAAAAATTAACATGTGAGATCCATCCGGGGGCGAACTTTTCCGGGTAGAGGCCGGCAGGTGCCACTCGGAAATACCAGAAAAGAAAAAATTTATAGATTACTTAAATTGCTAAACTTGACTAATACGAAATTTACAAAATAATGATAAAAAAATATAAATAAATATTATAAACGATACAGTGTCTGTTCGTCTTCATCATCATCAGTGGAAACAACGTAAAAATTAATTGGAAACAATGAGAACCACTAATTGGAAGTATACTACATGCCCTGAACATTAAACTTTTAAATGGAATGAGTTGTGGTTTATTCATTTAACTTTTACAGAATCTACCTAAAAATATTTCCTATCTATAAAAAAGTTAAGGCATTTGCACGACAATTCAAGACAAGATTATTTCACCAAAAATACCTCAAAATACCTTCTTAGCTTAACGAATTATCATTCCTTAAAGATTTTAAAAGAGTAACAAAAATGACAAAAGCATCATCAATATTAAAAATAAATAATATAGAAGGCTCACCAAAATTCTTTGAAACCATTTTTTATAATAATCGATACCTGCGAAAATCTTCGAGCAACATCTTGTCAGATTTCAAACAACTTTTGTTGTACTCCTCAAAACTGCATGGAAAGCTGAGTCTGCAATCGAAATCATAGACATGAGACTTTATTGGATCCTTGTATAGAAGAATAACGTGGTAATCCTGCATGGTGACAAGAGCAAAAAAACATTTGAACAACGAAACTCTTGAGATATTTTTGATACACTGAAACTATGCATTTTAGTTTTTACTCAAAACTGGTAAGATATTAATTTATTTTCTAACAGTGAAAAGTAAAAATAACTAAGAATAAATAAAAAAAAATAAAGAAAAGTAACCTAACAATAAATGCCAAACAAAATTAAAGAAGTAATTAAAAAATAATTAGGAAGGAGAAGTTACTGTTGAAAATTAGTCATGAAATGTGGATTAAGATAGAATTGGCTGATTGATATGATTGATTTACAAGATGATTAACATACGATCTGATTAGCATGCAATATGATTAGATACAACATGATGAAAACTTAGACAAATATATCTTGCTAGCACATCCTTTCTTATGATCCCTTAGATTATATTATCACATCACATGTTACCATAAAAAATCATATATAAAGAAACATTCTTAGAAGATTCTGAGCAAACAATTATTTATTAAAATATTGTTACTTTTAACAAACTGCTGATAAAATTCTAAACAATACTACAGCTATATAAGTAGAATGTAAAAATAAATAAAATAACAGAAATGACCCATATTATTGGTTGGTCTGGTTCGTTGCTAAATCTTTTCATCCACAGTGGAATCTGAATTATTTTTTAAAATAAGTATGTTTGAAAATTTGAAATCGGCTTTGATTACAATGTACACGGTTACATTATGTTGTTAGTTAATAGTTTAATAATTTGTTTCATTTTAAAAATTTAAATGATTTTAAATAGCTTGAGATATAGTTCAATTTTAAATTTTAAATAAATTCAAGTTTGAAAAACCTCTAACTTTTTGTTGTGGATTGGAAATGAATACAGCAAAGCAATTTTCTAAGTAGCCATTGTTAAGTTCTTTAATCTTTTTGATTAGTAACCAGATATTTTCTTCACTGCATAAAAAAGCATTATAATTTATTATTATGAAGTCATAATGTTCAAAATGTTTCCTGAATTTTATTATTTGTAGACTTATAACATTAAAAAAAAACCTATTCTCATACAATTATAAATTTATCTTAAAACTGTGCTATAATATAAGATAAGTTATAAACAAAATCACAATTTTTTTTCTAGATAATTAAATCAAATTGGCATTTAATATTAAATTAATTTACTAAATAATAATATAGCTAAAATGCAACCAATAACAAGAGGTGTATTGGCAGTCAGACAAATATATGCCATCCATTATTCAACAATATCAATAAAAAATTAAATTTAGTAACAACAAATAACAATTTCTACGTTAATTTAATAATGTTAAGAAGTAAAAAGGTAAACAAATAATTGACAGATTAAAAGAGGATTCAAATTTGTACAATAGAAAGTGCATATAACTAGAAAGTGGGAAAGTCGGAAAAGTTAAATAGCATAATATATGGCATCTACGGTTATAATAAAATACATTGTTACCTTGGTCAGCCAACTGCAACATTCGAGACATTTTTATTACTGCACGCGTTTTAACAACGAAAGCAATGTTTAAAAATGTTAAACCCGTGTTCTTTAAATAAGTTATCAAATTAATATAGTTATCTATATAAAACGCTTAGTGTGGTATTTTGCGACGTTTTTGACGTGTTTTGATCACTTAGTTACCCCAACGTGCCGACGATACGTACTATCACCACTCCAAAGCAGAGGATTAAAATACGAGGATAGGCTAAAGCTTCTAGGGTGGTCTTCACTGGTTCACAGACACAGAAGACAAGACATGATATCACCTTGTCAATTTCTTAATGGACTGTTGTATATGGATTCGATATCAAACCAGACTACGCACCTAGCATGGCGACAAGAGGAAATGGTATGAAGGTGATTAAGTGGACTTTCAGAAAAGATGCCAGAAAATATTATTTCAACAACAGAATAGTAAATGACTGGAATAGCCTACCTGAAAATTTCGTCCAATTAGCCAACATTACTTGCTTCAAGATAGCCTTAGATAAATTTTGGCAGAACAAATTCCATATCTGGAAGTAAAGATGTCGAACCAAAAGATGTAAAGTTAAACTAAACATTTTCAACCAAACATTTTAATTATTTGAATTATTTATTCCTAAAAATCTGTTTACATTATGGTGGCAATGGGCTTTACCTCCGCTGCAAATTTATTCTATTCTATTTTACAGTATTGTATGCTTGTACCATGTGAAATCTGCAAAATGAAAGAAGAAAGAAAGATTAAAAGCGTGTGAGATGTTGCTAATGCGCCAGGAAGTTGGTGGAAATCAGTTGGAGATAGAGGAATTACTGGCACATTATAGCACTATCTTGGGAGCTGCAGTGCCGTTAAAATAAAAAATAAAAAAAGGCAAGTCTTTTATTAAAAGATCAAAATAAGAAAACAAAAAGTTTGCCTCGAAATGTTGGATGACATCACAACTATTTCTTAAAATTTTACTACCTGGTATGGGAAACTGGAAGAAGGATGTTGGAAGACCTGTGAAAGAAATAAATGACATTGTAAAGTGTACTTTGGTGGAAAAGTTGAACTTGAAAATTAACAATATAAGAAATGTCTTTTTACAGTTATTGAAAATTGTGCACTCATAAGTCAAAACGGTCTCTTAAGAAAACAAAAAGAATCATTGCTTGATCATTGAATAAGTCGAAATATGAAATTAATATGATACTAAATATAAGCATAAAGTAAGCAATGCAATTTTATAAAATTAAAAAAAATACGTCCTGTAAACTGTTAAATGCAACTGAAATTAAACTCTAAAACATGTTTGATTGAAAGAGCTTGAATACTCATGATGCGGAAAAATATCTCCAGTAGATATAACCGACCAGAAAGCAGAATTCAAAAATGACCACTACCACAAGAAACAGATTTCCTAAAGTATTTCTGCAATGAAATATTTAATTATTAATTTTCGGTTATACAAAACAGGGCTATATCAACTATTCCAAAACGTCCACTAACGATTGAACCATCAACCGCCAAACTTTACAAAATGGAGATATATTTTCTGTTTCTTCATTTATCTAAAATCGTTAAGTATCAAATGTATCAAATGCTCAGTTTTAGAAAGGATAAAATATAATCTTTATAATTTATAATATTTTTATTTTTATGATATCGTATGCCTAAGTTTGGTTAAAAAAACTTTGAGACAATGTAGATACTTCAAGAAAATTAAGCAGAAGCATACAAACATTAGGAATGATTTTTAAAGATACGTCTTCATTTAAAAGAGCACTTGTAGGCAAGACTTCCCTGTCCCGGGCCCAATCTTTCTTGTATTTCAAAAGATCACTGTTGATCGAATAGTTGTCGTCGGAAAAACTTTTCACTTCATCGTTTATATCCTTTCAAAGAATTTATTTTTTTAAATTTAAATTTGCGAAATTTAAATTTTACATTATTCAAGTAATTTTAAAACAATTAAACTTACTTGAACCGACGTTTTAATCTTATCAGAGCGATTCTTTGAAGTAAAAGATAATATGATTAATTAATGTTTGATAGCGCTACTGCGAAAAAATATAATCTAAGAAAAAATATAATTCGAAGTAGATTACTTATTGAACTTACATTTGAAGTTTCAATTTGATTATCGTCATCAGTATCAGAATTATCTGGAAAACCATGTTTTAACAACGGTCTAGCTTGCTCCATTCTCTTTGATAGTCAAAAATTGCTTCAGTCGAAGTCGTTGAATCCAAGTTTGTATTCCGACAGACAAATATTTTTATCGAACTGACACATTTCAAACTACGTCATAGAAATAGGTGCGTTCTTGTTTGAAATGTTTTCTTATATAAAAATTTTACTGAATATTTAATTTTTAATCAACATTTGTCTTAAATGTATGTAATGCTGTAACAACATCAGCACCTGCCATTACTTAATTGCAGTTTCATTATGATGCGTAAGTCGAAATTATAAAAAAATTGTTTAATTTTTAGGTTCTCGTCGCGAAAACTTGCTGGAACTGCTATTGACAAACGGATGACATCTTCATTGAATTACTTAAATCACACACACCCGATTACGTTAATCATAATACATGTCGTGTAGGATGCACTCCATAGCACTATCTTATTTAACACTACTTGCGTTAAATAAGATGAACCTTAGCTAAATAATTTGATAGTTAGACATAAAACGAAATTTTATCACATGTGTATGTGGATATGTGAGTTGCGTGTGTATGAATAGTGAGTAACAGCAGAGTAATTTACAGCGCAATTTAAACCTAGTAACCTTACTTACGTGATCCGACATGAAATTGAAAATAATAAAAACGACAAACTGCTAATAAAATATAAAAAAATCCAAATGATTTTTCCACTTAGACAGTCTACAAAGAGCATGGCGCACCATTCAAAACTGTGTATACGTGTAGTGTAGGGTGTTTATGTATGTTTACACGGGCATGTGCGTGCGTGTATATGTATGTTTGTGTGTATGTCTGTCTGAGCATGTCTGTGTTTGTGTGTACATGCGTATGTGTATGTCTGTGCGAGTGCACAAAGGAATTATCTGAAAGTTTTGAAGGCTGAATTAATATGAGGAAATAAATTTTTAAAAATGATTAAGAAATGATAGTAAATAAATAAAAGTAATAACAAAGTATCCACGGTATTAATGTTACTATTAAAGGTAATCTGAAAAAAAAACAGAAAACAACATCATACATGCCTCGTAATAATAGCAAAAACAAGAAGGCAATAAAATAAAACAGTCAAGTGAATGACGAATAAAAATAAAATAGAAATAAGAACAATAAAGAATAATAAAATGATATGAGTGCTTCTGAGAAGGAGACCAATTGACATCAAAGAACACCGCTATTGTGTTTATAATGGCTTTCATCTCGCCGCTCTCAGATTAAACTCTAAGTCTCTGTTGACAACTGTTGTGCGTTTGTGTGCGTCTGTGTGTGAGTGTGTTTGCCTAGCTGATTTTATGTGTATTTTCGTGTTTTAGTACGCATTATTTGATGCCTATGCTTATCTTGTGGTGATGGTGGGCTGGATGGTTGAGCAAATTAATCATTTTTTAATTTCTTTCATAGTACTTATTCATATCTTTTATTAAAAATATAATAAAGAATTCAATAAGATCCACAAGTTATTTTAATACTTGCCTGGACTTCAATCGAAATGAATGTTCATGCGAAAATAAAAATGTTTAAAACCAGCCGCATTCTTATATATAAATACAAACATGCGGTGATTCAGACACTAATTCAAAATACAAATACAAACATAAAATACAAACATAGATATAAATACAAACACCAATACAAGCCAATACAAATACCAATACAGACCAATACAAATACCAATACAAACACAAATAGAAACACACTAGTAACTAGCACTCATAAACTCAGAAGAGTTCGTGATAATCTACACCTGATACGTCAAAAAATGCTGAAATAAAATTTCATTTGGTTACATGATTTTTGAATTAGTGATATGAAATGCTTTCACACGCTGTTGAATGAAAAGCTGTTGAAAGTAGATTGTTCATAACTTGACCACTTCAAGTATTGTAAAGAACTTTGAATGATTTTTTGAAGTTGCTCCAATTCTATTTTATGTATTAATAAATATTATTCCGTGTCAACGGGTCGATAAAAGTTTATGTAAATTCAATTGACGAGTAGACAAATGAAATGTGGTAATAAATGATGGATTTGGTTCTTAATGTTTTACATACATTCGTATGTTCGTATCACTTGACTAAACACCGATGATTATGAACATGAACATGAACGTGAACATGAACATGAACATGAATGTATGATACACGCCAACAGTTGCGCAGTGGTGGGAGAACCGTAGGTTAAGGAGGTGTAGCTTCAATTACTCATACATTAACAAATTCTTTTTTTTTTCTTTCGTGAATTCAAGTTTTGTAAGATGACGAGTCAAGCTGATTGTTTGATGTAGTTCCTATTCGATTGCATTAGGATTTTTTAGGCAATGAAAAAATATTGACTTGGAAAGACTTTCAGGAATTTCGCCACTTTCATAGATCACACTCAAAATTTATGTTACTTCTTCAGTTCCAAATTCATTCATACTTTTTAATTCTATAATAACTATCTTGCCTGGACCTGGCGCCTTATTTGATTTTATTTTGGAAAGCATAAAGTTCTGATCTAAGTATACTTTGGTCCATATCTCTTTTTTTTTATAGAAGGATTTTCAAGTTTTCCCAAAGAATTTCCTCCAAAATATTCTTTTGAAATTATTTTACCAATGCACCAATAATCTTTTTTCTTGCAATTTCCGTTGTTAATACTCATTTTTTCAATGGTTCCTCATTTGTCATTCAACCTTTTTTTAATCATAACTCGCATTTCTTAAATGACTTCATCTAGTTTTTTGTACCAGCCAGGATTACAACTGTAGACGTTCACTCCCTCGCGATACGATGTCACCTTTCATGCATACCTCAGCTCTTTGTTGTTCCCACACAGGCACAATTTCATAGTTGATTCACCCATGTCGAAGCATTTTTATATTTAGATTCATTAACGTCTCTTGCCAATAACGTAACGAAATTCAGTAGTTCAACGTTATACACGACATTGATCTTAAACATACGTAATGCAATGTAATGTAATGTAATGTAAACGTGTGTCTGTTTGTTTCTCTCTGTAATTATGTGGGTGTACTATTATTATTTGAAAATTTGTATAGCGCTAATTACAAACAAAATGTTTCTCAAAAGCACTGTCTAAAAAAAAACATTTGAATTGCTACGATAAACCAAATCTTAAAATCTTATAATGAAAACAAAAATGATTTCAATAATTTCTTGAACAATTTTTCTGTCAGTTCGGGCTGTCTTAGATGACTTGGTAGACTATTCCAAACGGCTGGTCCACATACTGAAAAACTTCTCTCAGCCATTTTCAAGTTGGTTTGAGGCACACATACCAAGTTGCTATCATTAGACCTTAAGCAGACATTTTTAAAAGACAGTTGTTTCGGTGCATGCATTTCTTTCAAATAAACTGGCGCCATTCCCTTTATACATTTGAACATGATTGTTGATATTTTGAACAAAATTCTTTTTTTGACCATCAACCAGTGCAGTTCTCTGAATATCGGGGTGACATGGTCAAACTTTTTCGCACCAACCACGATCTTAGCTGCCCGATTCTGAATTGACTGAAGCACATATAACGATTTTTCAGGTAAACCATAAAATAGGCTGTTGCAGTAATCCAGTCTAGAATGAATAAACAAATGCACTAAACTTTGAATAACATCTTTGGTTAAGCTTTTGCGGATTATTTTTAATTTTCGCAGTTGTAGGGTTGCAGTACCAGATAAAAACTTGATATGTTCAGTCATTGCCAGTCAAGAATCAAAAATGACACCCAAGTTTGTAGCTTTGGGAATGAAGTTTATATTTGAGCCCTCAATGATAACTGAATTAATTTTAATTCTAGACAGCTGTTGCCAAGTTCCAACCAGAAGAATTTGCGTCTTACTTTGATTGAGTTTAAGACGATTATTTGCCATCCATTTCTCGATCTCGACCAAACATTTAACAAAACGATCAACTGCAAGATGAAAGTTGCTATAGGATTTTGTGGTGAGTAGCTGAATATCATCTGCAAATGCATGACACTCCAAACCATGTAATCCGATCGCCTCAATAATTTCAGAGGTGTAAAGAATAAACAAGATGTGGAACACCAAATCTTATCGTTTGAACCGAAGAGGTCTTATTTTTGTAAATTACCTGTTGAGTTCTGTTTGTTAAGTACGACCGAAACCATTGTTCGACAGAGCCAGTTATTCCAAATCTATGATTAAGACGTTTCAGAAGAATGCAATGGTCAACACAGTCAAATGCCGAACTCATATCTAAGAATCCAAGAAGAGATGGTTTACTGTTGTTTATATTTTCATGCAACTTAGATAATACATGCAACAAAGCAGTTTCGGTAGAATGATGTCTTCTATAGCCTGACTGATATACCGGTAACAAATTGTTTTTATCTAAGTGTTTCATAAGCTCCTTAGAAACTAATCTTTCAATTAATTTTGACAAGAACGACAGATTTGAAACCGGTCTATAATTATTAAGATCAGAATTGTCTAATTTTTTCTTTTTCAAAAGAGGAGAAATTGTAGCATGCTTTAACATAGCCGGAAACTCACCAGTACGTAAACATAAGTTTATAAGATCAATCAAATATTTTGAAAACAATCCTACATATTTTTTGAAAAAGTGTGAAGGAACACAATCGAGTGAACATGTTTTAGACGGAGAGTTCAAAACTGCTTCAACAATTTCGCTTTTGAACAATCTCCATCAAACCACGGCGTCAACGAATCATCTCGACTTTCAACCACGTGTTCTGGAGCTATTATGTCCACAATTCTCTTCAGTTCATTCGCAAAAATCTCAACCAGCGTTTCTATATTATCATCTTGGCATAGCCCTCCAATCGGGAATTTCGAAATTAACAATGCGAGATTTTCTTCATTTATGCGTCGCCAGGATCGAACCATTTTTTACTTCTCGTGCCTATAACTTGATTGATTGACAAACAAACCTGGATTAATCCATGATCTGATAACATTCCACTGGAAAATATCAAACTATTAAAGATAGGAAAAGAGCGAGAAGTAACGATCAAGTCCAAAACACCACCTAATTCATGCGTTGGTTCGTTAATCCTGTTGACCAACTGAAAACAATCGAAAACCTCATTGAGTGAGACTGTGCTTGGATCATCTTTTCTCTCCATATGAACATTAAAATCTCCCGCAACAACGATTTTATCACTTAACAGAGATAAAACTTCTAAAACATTCGCTAGCTCTGAAAAGAACGATGGTGAAGGAGGAACCGATCCAGGTCTATAAATTGATAACAAAATAAAATCAGATTTGTTTACTCTCAATTTAATTGCAACAGCTTCAAAAGTTATCACGGCGGGTAACTCAACAGGTTTATAAATGAACTCTTTCTTGAAATAAATTATAATTCCGCCATGATATGGATCGTGAGGTCTGACGTAATCTACAAACTTATAACCAGGGGGCATCGCGCATCGAACAGCAAACTCATCTGACGACCCATGCCATGTTTCAGTTAATACAAGAATATCCAATTCTCCACGAATTATATCACACACCATTTCATATTTTGACATTATAGATCTTATGTTGAGGAGCCCCAGGCCAATTTTTAAATCATTGTAATTTTTCATGGTTAATTTTTGAGCTGTAGCATGAATCATCCTCCGACTGGCCCTCCAGTCAACAACACCCTCATCAGTTAATTTCTGAACTTCACAATCCGCCATCTTCCCACAGGACCTCTGACTCTGTATACAAAATTGTCTTTGCATGCCGCTTCTTTCAATTTTGCATCAGCTACCAGTTTCTTTAATTCACTTCTCTGCTCAGGTGTCAGATCATTGCTAATCCAGACTTTACTCAGTTCGACCGACATTAATTTCAATTTGTGTGCATTTGTCATCACGGTCTCTTTAGACATCAAACTATCCAACACTATCAATATTGGACGTGTGGATGATTCATTTTTCTTTCCAAGTCTTGTAACATATTTTATATGTGAATCTTTTATATCATCAGACAATTTTAACAAAATATTTTAACACGAATTTTATCATCTTCACCTTCTTGTAAATTGAAAATTATTATATTTCTTTCTCTGTCTTTTATATCAATTGACTCAGTTAATTTTCTTTTAACCGTTTTAAGTTCCAGATTGACACACTCAATGTTTTTCTTCACTTCTTGGCCAACAACAGTAGCAAAAGAAGATTTCAAATCACTTTTGAATGTGCTGATCTCAGCAGATAACTTGCTATCAGGCCTATCAAGGCTATCTAATTTTGCACTGTTACTGTTCAACATCTCTTTTATCAATTTAAGTTCCTTTTTTAGCAAACCGTTCATTTCGTTAATTTTTTCGACTTTTAAGTTGATTTCATCATTTTTGTCACTGACTATTTTAGAGAGAGTTTTAACGTTGCATAACTTCTTCAGACAAATATCACAAAACCATTTAAAACTATCGAAACCACGTGTCACTTCAAAAGCTTCATCACTCAAACCAACACATTTTATGTGAAAACAATTTTCGCACTGAAAACATTGAATGCATTGCAAATTTTCTTTTCCTGATTTCACACATTTTGTTTTCGTACATTTTGAAGCCATATTAATTTGATTGTTGTGTTGTTCGTTGTCCGGGTGAGTTCCGAAACGAAAAAAACAGCAAAAACAGCACTAAATTAAACTTTTAAACGGAGAAAAAATATATATAAATATTCGTCAAAATTTTCTCTATCAAATGAAATTAAATTTAAACTAAATACTCGATTTTAAACTATGAAATTAAGAAAAAATACGGAGCAAATCAAAATGTGGCCTGCACGTGCCACCGATCATATATATAACTGATATGTATGGTTATGGGTGCTTGTATGTAAGTATGGGTGCATGTATGTGGGCGTATGTATGTGTATGTGTGTATTTATATGTATGTATGTATGTATGTATGTATGTGAGTGTATGCATGTAATACGTACGTGTGCATATAAATGTATGGATACGTAAGAATAAGAACTATTTATGGGCACACAGAACATCCATCAAAGCAACCACACGTTCGTCAGACATAAAAGTTTGTATTCTGCATAGAGGTCTTGCATGTTATATTGTGTCTAATGTGTTTATGCAATTACATACGTTCGTATGTTACGCGCGTATAAAGGTAGATGTACCATAAACTTGTAAATGTCTTCATATATTTCACACACAATGGAATATAAAGTTTGTCTCGTAGGTTAATAGAGGCATATAATTTTTTTGTAAACAAGATTTGTCGGCTTTTGAGCTTTTGTTGATCTATGTGGTGATGTTTTGTATAACACTGGTTTTAATTTTTTACCTTTTTTTTATAGTTTGAAATAAATTAATTCTTTTGAATTATATTTAATTTATATATTTAAACATAGTCCAACATTGAATAATTGACTGTGGTGTTTAGTTAAACATGGAGCATTCTACTGGTTGCGCGAATTTACAATCTGCAAACATAAAAAAGCATTTTGAAAGTGCACGTGATCTGCAATGATAATATGTCATGTGACCTGTCCACTTTATCAGCTGTGCTGCTGTTGGTGGCAGTGAGTTTGACTCGTCTGCGGAGAGCTGATGCTGCTGGCCAACGTCCAACCAGTGCAGACGTGTTTCTAACGAAAGCACCACCATCATCGTCGTCATCGTTACCTTATTTATTAAAGTTATCACCCTCACCATCACCACCAACATCGTCATCATCATCATCGACATTACCATCGTTGCTATCATTATCAGTATCGTCAACATCGTCATTGCTACCATCATCAACACCATCATCATCGTCGTCGTCGTCGTCAACATCATCACCGTATTTGACAACTTCGTCATCGTCAATGTGGCCGTCGTCTTTACTAATGTCGTCACAACCACCACCATCCTCACCATCGCGGTCATCCTCCCCAACCTCACCACCACCACCATCATCACTATCATGGTCAATTTCATTTTCAACGCCTTCAAAAAATTCTGATATGGAGAATAAATCTCTAACCCGGTTTGTTGATGTCGAATTAAATTTCTTAGGCTCCATCGATGGTGAGAACATCTACAGAGGCGACGAGCGCAGCTGCAGCGATCGTCACCACAAACATCCTCACAACAACCCCAACCACAAACGGAAAACAAACAACAACAACATACTGAAAACAAATCACGTGACTGACATCAAGTCGACTACACTCGTTCTTCCTTCAACTGGCCATCGACGGTTTCATCTCCGTCATCAGCCACGTCATCGTCATCATCATCTTCATCGTCGTAGTCATCAACATCACCACCAACAACAACACCAAAATGAACAGCAGCAGCAGCAACAACAGTCGCGACAACAACGACAAATTGATCATTATTCAATTTTTCACGCTCATAATTTGTTCGTAGACGATGAGACGGTTGAGTCATTTGATACGCATAGTTTTAATTATATCAATAACAATGACATGAACAATAACAAAAATGACATTAACAACAGCAACAACCACCACAAGATTAAAATCTTCAACAACAACAACATCATCAACAACAACAAAAACAACGACATAAACAACAATATAAAAAAAATCAACAGTAATCTTAATCACAAAAATATCGTCAACAGTGACATAATCAAGAAAAAAAATCGGAATAATTTGATCAATTCAGAAAAGGACAACAACAACAATAACAACAATATTAATGACGATGAAATTGATATTAATTATAATGGCAATAACGATGACAACAATGATGATGGTGGTGATGATGATGATGATAGCAACAACGAGACATCACACGGAGACTCAACTACTGCTTATCGGGGTAACCATGTGGAAAAAGAAGGCTTAGAATACTACATCAAAAACACGCAACAACGTACAAGCAACAAGCAACCAGATACAGGCAACACACAACAACATACAACCAAACCGCGACAACATACAACCAACACGCAACAACAAGTAGGCATAACGCAACAACATGCAGCAGCTATGCAATATCATACAGACAGTAAAACAGGCATTGTTCATTTATCAACTATTCAAAACAACAACAGTAACGACAACAACAACACCAGTGACCCAAATTTCAGCAAAAACGTCAAAATTGCTAACCACACAAACACAAAAAAACTGAACAACAACAAAAAGAACAACAGCATTCGGAGATCGCTGATGGAGTTGAGCACGTTGGAGTACGACCCAGGAAGAGCAGAGTTCGTACGCAACAACAACAAACACCAACTGAACGCCACCTTTTCCAAACTTGGCAGCATCAAAAACGTCGAGACTTCCTTCCTCAAACAGGTACTTACATGTCATTCTTTCTTCTGTTTTCCACCATCTCGTCAATCACGCATTCCATACGCGTTAACACAGATAAACAAATATGATCCATCATTGTAAACACAGTTCCAAGCATACACACACACATACATGTACACATATGCACATTTATGTACAGTACACACACACACACATTGACAGACACACACTCATACACCCATAGACACACAGACACACACGCTCTGCACATACAAGCTAGATAAAGATGATAGGTTTACATTATTATAATAAATGAAGAAATGTTGTTCATTGGCATACATAACTATTTTTAGCAGCCAATCGTTTACTTTCCATATTTATATTTCATTCATCAATCCATCAAGTTTTCCATTCTTTCATTCAATCAAGCACAAAGTAACATATATTTATTTATAAACTATCAACGAAATATTTTTTTTATAACATTCTCGCTCATTTTTAACGTTTAGTCATCTACATATTTTTATTTTTCAGTAAATTTATCTATTGTTCATCCATCCATCCATCCATCCATCCGTCCGTCCGTCCGTCCGTCCATCCATCCATCCATCCATCCATCCATCCTTTAATTTATTTCTTTCAAATCTTTTGATGTTCAACGGTATATTTGCTAGGTGGAAATTTTTTCACGTTGTTGATGTAGTCGCAGAAGATGACGACGACGACGACGATGATTATGACGTTTTAGATGCTGATACTGATAGTGATGTTGATAATGATGGTGATGATGATGATGATAAGGATATCGTTAATGATAATCATGATGTTCATGTTTTTGATAATGATGATGATTTTGCTGAGTTTATTGTAGTCGTTGAAGAAAATGAGATGATGACATTAAATGATGATGAATGATGATGAAAGGATAGTATCACGAGATACTGTCTAGAATGGTGATGACATAATATGATATGATATCATAGTATGGTAATGATATAATGATGCTGATGGTGGATGATGTCTTCAAGCAGCATACATAAACACTACAATACTATCTTACTTCCTTGGTCGTGCCATCAAGTTTTGCCAACAACTGCAACACCACCCTGTTGTTTGTTGGTCGGTTGTTCGTTGTTGCAATAATGTCCCAAATGTTGCTCATTCAAAAATCAACACAGAAAATGAAATAACTCAACAAGACGTCATATTCAAGAGCATCAAACTCAACCAAGACAACCAACTAACCACACACACACTAACACAAACACACACACCACACACACTAACACACGCACACACTAACATACACTACACACACACACACACACACACACACATAATACACACATACACACACAGTGTACGTTGCAAAGTCTATTACCATTGTTATATGTTTTTAAAGTTCATCCAACGGTTTTATTTTTCCATTCCCATAGACATAAGAAAAAATATTAGTTGGTCATTTGAACAAAGGAGAAAAATGTTTTTTTTTGAAACAAAAGTTTGGAGCAATTTATTTAAAATATTAATTTTGTTTATTATAAAATAAATGAAATGTGTAAATAAATATTAAATAAATAAATAAAAATAGATAAACTTAAAATTGTTGAATAGAAACCTCATCAATCAATTATCCTATCGCGAACACGTTCACAGCCACCGATACTTTTTTTTTAAATATGCATTCGAAAATATTATAATAGATAAAAAAACAAAATAGAAACATTTCAATGAATGGTGGTTTTAGAATTAACATACTCATTCCTATTTTCATTTCGTGTTTGTATGGGCCGAAATGTACGTCTTGTTTTTTTTCAAATCATTCTTCACCACACACCACACAAATTTAACAACATCTACGCTATACACTACGAAACAAACACACACACACACACGCCACGCACACACACACACGCCACGCACACACACACACATACACACACACGCACACATACACACACACATATACGCACGTACATAATGTATTTGTGTGTTGTTTGTGTTGTTTGTGTAGTTTTTGTTGGCAATTGTTGTCAATTAATGTGATTTTTATGCATGAATGGTTAATCCTAACCTTATAAATGTTTTTATAAGTTGTTAGTGTCAGTTGATGTTATATCTAGTTGACGCTATTGGTGATATGATGTTGTTTTTTTTAGCTGATGCTGGCCGACGCAATATAGTAGTTTGTTATGGGTTGCTTAGTTTGACATCAGACCACGAAAGCTGTGCACCGTCTGATTCATCTCGCATCATCAGCATTCAGTTGTTTTTGTAAGAAATTATATAGAAAATAAATGACGCCAAGACATCATCGTGGATGTGTATGGGATGTAACGTAGAAAGGAAAGTATCAACGTGACACTGCACCGGTTGAGAGAGATTTGAAAGGTTTAAAAATTACAAGACAGCAAAACTTTGATGTTCGTCCTGGTGGCATCATTAATTAGTGAGTTGAATAATGTGTTGCTTGGTTGGCTGGCTGGTTGGTTGATTGGCTGGTTGGTTGACTGGCTGGCTGGTTGGTTGGCTGGTTGGTTGATTGGTTGGTTGGCTGGTTGGTTGGCTCTGGTTAGAAGGATGTTTGAATAGATGGTTGGTTGGTCGGTCGGTTGGTTGGATGAATGGTTGGATGGGTTGGTTAGATGGTTGGTTGGATAGATGGTTTGTCGGCCGGTTAGAAAAATGTTTGAATGGTTGAATAGATGAATTTTTGGTTAAAATGGTAACGCTGCATCACAATTTCACCTCATTATTACTACTAAATAAAAAATCTTTGGCCGAAAGAAGCTGAAAAAAATATATGTACTTTTAAGATAAATAACAATATTTAATGGTTATCATTTTAAATTTTAACAATAACAGTAATAATAATAAAGAAAATAATAAGAATAATAATAATGACTTAATGTTTATGTTAACAACAACAAAGAGATTGAAAAGGATATGATCAGTTGTGTTATGAGATGATGTGTAGGCTGTGTTTTTGTTTGTGTGTGCGTGTTTGTATGTGTGTGTTGTACGTGTGTTATATGTGTGTGTGTGTGCGTGTGTGTGCGTGTGTGTGCGTGTGTGTGTGTTTATGCTGGTATGTTTGTTTGTATATTTTGTCGTACGTGTGATTTTAGGTGTGGTTGTATGTGTGTGTTGTTGTGTGAATACGGGTGTGTGTTATGTTGCATGTGTGCATGTGTGTGTTGTTGTATGTGTGCATGTGTGTGTTGTTGTATCTGTGTCGTTGTGTGTGCGTGTGCGTGCGTGTTTTTGTGCAGTTTTGTTGTTATGCTGCAGACATTTGTTATTGAATGTTTTGTTGTTGTTGTTGTTTTCAACGGTACAAACTACAAAGAGCCGACTTTCTCGTGCTCCTTTGTAATTGCAATGTTTGGCTCGTTTGGCTGGGGAGAGGAGAGAGGCTGCTGCTGATGATGATCGTGATGATGACGACGACGATGATGATCGTGATGATGACGACGACGATGACGCTTGTGATGATGATGATTATGATGATGATGTGGAAAATGTAAGTAACGTTAGTTTTGGTTAATTTGACGACGACGACGACGATGATGAAGATGATGGGGGTATATGATAATTAGGATGGGAAGTCCACGATCGTCTTTTAAGTTTAATTCATTTGTTAGTTTCTATTGCTGAAGCGTAACAATTTTCATGAAGAGAAATGCTGTTGAATGACATTATTAATATTTAAAGAAACGCTTGTGAATATCTACAAAAACAACAACAACAACAACATCATCAAGAACAACAACAACAGCAACAACATCATCATCATCATCAACAAGAACAACAACAACAGCAACAAGAACAACATCAACAGCAACAACAGCTAACAACCCACAAAGAAAACGAAATATGCGATGAAGATAGATTTGTTTTTAAACTGTGTTGATGGCTGTGGTATGTGGAGCAAGAGAGAAAGAAAAAGAGCAGAGAAATAAAAGTTGATCACGTTCGTCGAAATGTGACATTCGTTCATCAACTCACTCTAAACAAACAATTAAAATTGGAGTCTAGGAAATAAAAAACAAACTAACACACACACACACTCACACACACACATACATACACCCACACATACACATACACGCACTTTTTGTTATGTAATTACAAAGATGTATTAAGCATAGATGCGTAAAATGTAACAGATATATATATATATATATAAAGGAAAAAATATAATGTAATATTTGAAGATGTTCTTATAAACGTAGAATTAAAGTTTTAAAAAAAGTACCTGAAAATACACATAAAAATATATCATGTAATGGTATATAGTAGCGTAGAAATGAAGATTTTTGTTTGAAAATACGGGATGACGAAAGAGCAAGGGCGCTAAATGTGTGCGATTCGTTACGAGAACTTATGTGTATTCCACGAATGAATTACTTTCATCACGAACTTGAGTCTGATCGTCACCATCATCATCATCATCATCGTCAGCATCTTCCTTCGCCTCACCCTCATTACATCACATTATAACTCATTTCCAATGAAACGACCTGATCGTGTCTGGATGGATGGATGGATGGATGAATGGATGGATGAATGGATGGATGGATGGATGAATAGATGGATGGATGATGCTGGAAAAAATTGCGGAAGAGAAAACAGGGAATGAGATAGAACTATGCAATGCAACATGATGTAATGAAACGTGGTGTGACGATGCAATGATGCCATCATACATACGCAATGATGTCATCATATGCGTGTGATGATTTGATGAAGTTTAAATCTGAAGTTGAATACATCTTTCTTACCGAACTTTTAACACACAAACATGTACACGTATGTACATCTCTACAATACCAACGTACACCGAGCAAAATTATACCGCGAGCGAAATGTGTGCGATGTATGGAAGAGCAATATGTGTTTACTTAGAAGCAAGGACGCATACGAAGGTTGCGTACATGATTTGTACAGAATGTACACACACACACACACACACACACACACACACACACACACACACACACATATATATATATATATATATATACATATATATTCTTATACACATATATAATACACATATAAATATGTATGTGTGTGTATGCATGCATGAGTGCATGCATGTGAGTGTGATACAAGACTCTTACGATTTTGATATTTAC